ATTGGGTCAAGTTCTCCCCTTTTTACTTTGTACTAAGATTACAACCATGTGATTGAATGATTTTATTGTCTCTGACAAGTGCCAAAAGGCTAACCTATTAAAAGAAACCCCAAAACAATATCAGATGTTTAGCAAGTTATCCTGTGGCAGATTCTCCTTTGAGAAGTAGCAAAACATTTTATGAGTATTAATTTTTTAAAAAATCCATGTAATTCTCATGCCTATTTTATTCATAATTTCAGTTTTTAAAATCCTCCTTCCTCTATTATACAACCAATTCTGATTCATATCAGGAACAAGATTTCTAAAATATTTGTCTATGTTTCTACTTAAGCATATTCAAGGACTAGGATTTTGGAGTTAGCACTTATCAGTGTCAAATAACAGAAAAGTTAATAAATAGAAAAGTTAACAAATGGCTAAAGAGAAATACAGATTAAAAAAATCTCTCAATCAAACTTTTCTTTAGACTTTTCTGAAACTCCAAAAGGAACTAACTCTTCAGGAATATTTAAAATACTCATAAAATAAAGAAACCTTTTAAGTATTATACACATGAATAGCAAGAGAAAAATCTACGAGGTAAAAAGTTGGAAGAAAAGTGACAGAAAATCAGGAACAATGTTAATACATTTGATATTACTTATATTGCAAGTTTTCTACTGTCCTGTTAAAACCCCTAATCATTACAAAAATGCCACCTCATTTATCTCACTTTATAAGATCATATACAATAAAGCCTTAGGGATGGAAGAGGAAGGCTACTTAAGCAAGCCGATTTCTATTTTGTAAAACAATTAGTTTGGAGTCAGGCAGGTCAGGTCTGCTGTGGAGGTACTTCAACAAAGATACACAGGGACCCAGAATCTCTGTCTGGTTTTCTTCCACAATGGGTATTGCCTCCTTGGCAGCATCCAAGATGGTTCATGACCAGATGTACATTTCAAACAAGATAGAGAAAGAGGCAGAAAAAGGGAATCATTTCCCATCATGTTCTTCAGCCAAAAAACAATTATACCTGCAAGAGACACTGAGAAATGTAGTCTTTGTTCTGGGAGGGACATGCCCAAAATGTTTGTTTCTATCACTGTGATAGAATAAAAGGTAAGAATGGATATTAAGGGGATACTGGTATTCTTTGCCCCTCTCAAATATTTGTGTGTCAGAAATTCGAACTTGAATGATAGGACTGACCAGCTAACAAATACCTACATTCCAGTTTTTCATTTACAAAGGATTAGTTTGCTTTTGAAATACAGAAAAGTATCTAAATGAGTTTATAAGGTATGTTTTATTGGTATAAAATCAAAATAAGGTGATAGAATTTTCTGGTCTGCCAATTAGCTATACGAAACTATGAGAAAAATTTCTTCTCTTGGAATTTCTTTATTAAGGAAAATAGTTTTATTTATAAAAGTCTCTCAACAATTTTATCTGACTGAGCAACTTTTAGAGTATCAAAACAAAGTTAAATTTTTATCATAAGTAAAAAAGTAATTATATTATTACAGTATCTGGGAGGGGACTGGTAAAATTGGAAAGCAGAAAGATTTCTCAATCCATCTCATTTTTCTCTGATATTAAGGGAGGAAAAAAATATCTTCCAGATTCTGCTAAAAGGTCATTTCCAATACAAAGAGGTAGATGCAGAATGCCTTAAATCTTTATCTCACTGGTGAATTACCCTTTGATCATTCCTTGCAGGAAGTCTATATTGAAAGTCACCTTATACAGCAGCTTCGACAGGTGAACACAGCCACAACTTCTTTGCTTGTGCCCAATGCAAAGCTTTCAACTCGTGGTGTGTGTTGTGTACAAAGTTGTCCTTCATCTAATATATTAAAAATTACACAAATGTGATCTCAGAACATCTATCAAAGCTACAGTACAGACAGAGCTAAAGTTATCTTTTTTTGAAATATACATATCCCAAATTTCCATTTTGTGGAAAAAGCAGAAGTTGAAAGTCAATACTTTGAATACTGCAAAAGCCACTTTAAAGATGGCTTTATTTAGATGACCCCAGGTGAATCAGTGCCATTATTGTTGTATAGCTGTGAAACAGATCATCATCCTTTACCTCGTTACATTTTCTCAATATAAAGTTCCCAGTGACTATCCGGTCACATCCAATTTCTCCATTTCCAAAGAAGCCAAACAAGGGAACATTAGGAAAAAACTTCCTAAATGCATCAGCCTCGACATTCCCTTTGGCTCTATAATACTGAAAGCCCCTGCCAACGCATGCAAACATGAAGCCAATGGTATTCTGTTCTGGAATGTTGGCTGCTTTGAGGCGCTGCATGGCCGCCTCAGCAGTCTTCTCATCATTGACTTCCTCATTAAGAAGCACTGTGGCACTCTGGATTCGGTGCCCACTAAATGACAGTCCAGCCACGCCTGTGGCATCGATATCCAGAGGGTTCCTGAAAAAATAGAAGAGGGGCAATGTATCAAGAAATACCTAAAGTAAAGAAGAAAACCCCTATGATGCACTGAGGGAGAGACACTGCTACCTTTAGCAGCCTCTGCTTGGTCAAAGACCACATCCCAGATATAAGTGGTATGTTAGATTGTTGAAGGCAGATCAAGAAGTAAGCAGCTGTCCTTTTCAGCCACAAATACAAAGATATGTCATGCACATTCACCAATATTTTCTCATTTAGAAACCTAGTTAGTGAAGCTTCTTGGTATGATTTACACTGTGGTATTCTTCCCTACCACCTGTCAAATTCTGAAAGAGATGTATTTAAAAATAATCATGGAATTTTAAAACTTAATTTTAAATAAATATAATTAAATTTTAAATAATAAAAAATAATCATTTTAAATTAATTAAAAATTAATTTTAAATAATTAAAAATAATCATGGAATTTTAAAAGTTAATACTCCAGAAGTCTTAGCTTTATATTTGTTGTGTAAACAAATACTTACTTTGAGCCTAGAATTTGGCTTAGTCTAATCATAAGGACTTCTGCATTGTCTTTATTTACCTGGCACTTTTTTTTTTTCATTAGAGTTATAAAGTATAGATAGTGTCAGAGTTATAAAGTATAGATAGTGAACACCCACTGGGGGAAAACAAAGTAAATGCCTTACATTTCTAATTTCTATCATTTTATCAACATATGAATCTACAAAATGGTTAAGATTCACTGGGCTAGCAGGAAACCAGACTTAAAGATTAAGAAGATATTAAGAATAGCCTGTGGAAAACCAGTTTGAAAGAGGCAGAGTCCATCTTCCTTTTTTAATTGTTTTTAGTTGTAGATGGACACAATATCTTTGTTTTATTTATTTATTTATTTTATGTGGTGCTGAGTATCGAACCCAATTCCTCACGCATGCAAGGCAATCTCTCAACCACTGAGCTACAACTCCAGCCCCTCCATCTTCTTTTTAGGTTTCCTTTTGTCACATTTCCTCTTTGGCATACAATTGTAATACATGTTATCACTCTCTTGCCTCAATTATTTATCTTTTGGGGGGCTGAGGCAGGTTGGGTTATCCGCTCGCTGTTAAGATGGAGCATTTATGGGCTCTCTTAGCCACTGACAGAGAACAAAGAGTACGTTAAAATTAATGTGTGAGGTGTAATTATTTTAGGGGGCTTATTTCCCATATTTGTATAAAAAATAGATGATAAATAGCCACACCAATAGATTTATAAGTCTGAAATAGATGTTAAATCACCATTGGTTATTTACAGTTTAAAGGTAATAGCAAAGAAGAAAATCTAGGGAAGAGGGAAAATAGATAGTGCCACTGAGATTCAGATGTATGTAAAGTCTAGTATTTGTTATCCTACTGTCTAAAATTTAACGTACTTTCTTTCTCACTTGCAGTCCAGGGACATTGGACTTAGCTGTTTACATCAATGGAGGCTACCAGGAGAGACCCTGTAACTGGGATGATGTATATTGGGATGATGTATATTACTCTTTGTTCCATGTCACCATTCCAGGATCCAAATACTAAACACAAATACAGTGAGGAATAAATACTAGTGTTTAGAAATGGCATTGGGGGTGGAGTAGGAGCTCATGTTACTGCTTTCAGAAACATGTCCATAGCTCAAACTCAATTTTGAAACAGAGACCCTGTGCAGCAACAAAATGAAACAAGATTGAGAAGGAAATAATGGATCCAAAGATAGGATATTTCTATCTCTAAAAGCAAAAGTTTTAGTAATAAAATCAATTTTCAAACTTGAAACAACCTTTCAAATGGTACAGAATTTCTAAAATTATATGTTGAAAACTAATAAAATACCTGCAAGATGTTCCATGGAGAAAAGGTTTTGTGACCAAATAGATTTGAGAACTGTCAGATGTTATTCCACCCCACATCCCTAACACCAGAAGATTTCTAAAACACTGAACATATTAGAGGCTCTGTCTGAGAAGTTCTGCCCTAAAAATACACTTTAACCATATGTGTCCTTTTAAAGAAGGAAAAACAGAAAGTGTGGAAATAAAATGGCTATAGTTTGCTCAAGAGAATTCCTCTGTGAGCCTTGGAACACACTTAAAGGCTGTAGTTTGCCTCAATCTTTAACCCCCAAACAATGCTGTCTGAAAAGAATATAAGACCCTAGACTAGTATTTGTTATCCTACTGCCTACAACATTTTCCAGTCACAGAGCTTAGACTAACTAGCTGTCTGTTTCGAAAGACTGCTTACTGATGACGTTCTTGCAACAGCCCCCTATACTATACAGCTTAACATGTGGACTGACCTCAACATCAATCTAAAGTCACTGAAAACAACTTGAGTAGCAAAGTCAATTAAAAATTGTTCAAAACAAGTTACTTGGCCTCACCCCATTCCTCCCCCTTTCCCTTTAAAAACCTAGTCCTCTTTCCCCTTAACAACAAAACATTTGTCTGGTTTCTAATTGAACCTGTGTCCCTGATTAGCAAATCTATTCTGTACTTGGGGGAAAAATGCCTTTGCTTTTATTTTATTTTAACTTAATTTATGATTTCTTGTTATGCAGAAATGGCATACACTGAGGTCACAGAGTGTCAGAGATGATCAACAGGCAATGCTGAAAATCAATTTTAAGAAGAATGTGAGTCCAACTAAGAAGACATTCTTAAAGGACAATACAAGTTATGTTTAATTCTTCAACTATAAGCAGAATTATGTTGAGTAAGCCCCTTAACCTAAGTCTACAGTAATGAAAACCTGAGACCATTTCCCTTCGTTCACAGAAGAAATCAGAAGCACAGAAAGCTTACTTTTCAGAAGTAAATGATGACAGGTTGTCCACCTGGCCTCCAGCCAAGATGATATTCATATCACTGAAAGTGCTGACTACTCGCTGCAGGTAATTACTGGCTCCCACCTTGCAGCAATTATAGCCAAAGATGAGGACCACTCGAAGTTCAGGGTTATCTAGAAGACCTGCAGAGAAACGAAAAGCAATAATTAAAAACAGCCTTAGAAGAGGAATTATCTTATACATCTTGCAAAATGAAAATACTGCTAATTACTGGTACTCCTAATGAAGTGCAATTTAGTGCTTCAGCTGTCAAGTTTCCCAGTTTTTACAAACTTTTAAATACTAACTCGAATTCTTAGTTGTAATTATTTTTTTTCATTTGAAAACTTATTTGAAAATAATACAATCAATACCCAACAAGTAAGAAAGCAATTATGTACTGAGCAGCAGCTCTCTATGGACACAGCTGGTTCCAAACAGACCACCACCTCAAATGAAAGGGACACTGGTTTGCAGAGAACAGTAGGATTATCAGCTGAGGAACTTAAAGAGCCAAAGAAATTGCAGACAAAACACACCAACTACATATAGTGGAGTAAATGGTACCCCCTACAGTGTATATCCACCTTAAACCCAATCTATCAATGTGAGCCTCTTTTTGGAAAAAGAAGCTTTTCAGACCTCACTAAGGATCTTGAAATGAGATCACCTGAATTATCCAGGTGGACACTTAAGTCCAATGACAAGTGCCCTTAAAATAAAAGACAGACAAAGGAGAGAGACAGAGGAGGAGGCAATGTGACCACAGAAGTAGAAACTGCAGTGACGCAACCATAAGAAATGTCAGCAGCTATAAAAGCAGAAAGAGACATCAGATTTGCCCCTAGAGCCTCCGGGAAGGAGTGGGGCACTACTGATACCTTGATTTCAGACTTCTGACTGCTTAAATGTGACAGAATAAATCTGTGGTGTTTTAAGTCATCAAGGTACTTTGTTACAGCAGCCTTAGGAAACTACTATACCACAGAAATGTAGGTTCTATCCACCTACTGCAGGGAATAGGTGGGAGTGAAGGTGGATTAGCCTTTGGAAAACAGGAATAGGTTTGACCTGTGGCATATGGACTAAAAGCAGCTAACAACAGGGGGTGGCAGAGTCCTAGGGATCAGGCTGTGTTTGGGCTCCCAAAGCTCCCTCCCAGGGTTTCACTTGAGCCTCTGGCGCCTTGTTTATAGAACATCAATTAGAAATTCAACAGCATTATCAAAAAGAGTGGCTTCTGGGTCAGGAAAGAAATCCAAAACCTAACCACACTCGTGTTTCCATTTGATTTGGCCACATGACTTCCATCTTGATAGACCAAAGGTGAGGTTACTAGAAATAAGGCTCATTCAACAAAATACGGGGGTAGGAAAATAACTAATTACCAAAATCAAATAATGATTCTGGGAAACTGCCTCTGGGTCATTTCTAATTCTCTACACAATAAATCACTGATTTGGATAATGAAAGGATGTTGTTATTTCTTAATACCGGGTCTCACAGATCACTACTAAAGGGTCTTTTTTTTTTTCTATTATAGACCAGCCTAGCAAATTCTGAGAGAAAAAAAAAATTATAAAACAGATTTTCAGTTAGAAAATGCCTCTGGATCAAGGGTCTAATCTTATTTTACAAACAAAATTGATAACCCCAGAGAAGTGACTAGCCCAAGAAAATGTCATGGCTAGTCAAAGAAAAGTTAGGAAATTACTCAATCTACTTACTGAGTAGTCTCAATAAAGTCTTCAGTGCAAAAGAGAGGGATATGACAGAAATATTACCTCAGTAAGCCCAGGGCCGTCAACACACTGATGAGTGCCTTCCCTCCCAGCTTCACATCACTGAAGCCGGTCAGTCCCCTTTGCTTCAGTTACCATTCATCACCTGATGGTTCTCAAATTTGCATCCTGCATCCAGACCACTCTCCTGAGCTCTGACAGTCAACTGTCTACTTACTATCTCCATCTCAAATTCAACATGTTCAAAACAACTTTTTTTTTTAAAGAGAGAGAAGTTATTTTTTTTATATATATATTTATTCTTTAGTTTTTCGGCGGACACAACATCTTTATTTATATGTGGTGCTGAGAATTGAACCCAGCGCAGCGCCCATGCCAGGCAAACATACTACCGCTTGAGCCACATCCCCAGCCCCTCAAAACAACTTTTAATAACTCGATTCCTCCAAACTGCACGGTCTAGTCCGTTCTTTACTGTGAAACTGTATCCAGCCAAAAACCTAGGTGAGATCAATGCCACTTCTCTTATTCTCAATGTCAAATATTGAATCAGTCACCACATGCCATCCATTATTCACCTCTGAACCTTCTCTGGAATTGATCTACTTCTCTTCAACTCCACCCGCTACTACCCTTGCCCAAAATGCCACTTCTTCTTGCCTTAACCAATACAACAGCATCCTGTTTTTCCTGCATCTGATTTTTAAAAAATTTAATGTGAATATATAGCTATTATGTACAAGATAATGTTTTGAAATATGTACACTACAAAGCAAATTAAACTCATCCTGCATCCACTCCTGTGCTCCTCTGCAACGACCAGCACCCTGCAGCCACAGCGGCATTTTCCAGAGACATTTCTGATCATGCCATTCCTGTGTTGAGACTCCTAGCTTCCCAACAGTTCTCCTTTGGCCTTCCTGACTGGCCTCTGCCTGCGGGTTCAGCTTCCATCACAGACCCCTCCTCTCATGCCTCCCAGTCAGGATATTTTTTAGGTTTCCCAACTGAGCTGTGGGAACTCACTTCTACACCCTCACAGTAATTACCAGGTTTTTCTATTTCGTTCTTTGATCTCTTGGCTATCTTGCTGTTTTTTTTGTCAGCAACCAGCAAAGAATATAAAAACCACCCACGATACTCCTTCCTACCCAAGCCTCCTTTCCATCTTCCCAAGGTTCTATTAAGTCTATTAAGCCCCCTGGTTGTATGTTTTCTAGCACATCTGTGTTTCTACCTGGCAGTATGGTTTTTCATTCAGTCAGCCTGCCCTGCTGACTGGGAGGTCCAGAAGGCCAGGACAATGTCATCACAAACAGAGGTTTACACACAGCATATACCCAGACAGTTTTTCTTTTTTCAAATTTTCCAAAAATATTTTTTAGTTAATGCACCTTTATTTTTTATTTATTTATATGTGCTCCTGAGAATTAAACCCAGTGCCTCACACTTGCTAAGCAAGCGCTCTACCACTGAGCCATAACTCTAGCTCCACAAACTGGTTTTTATGAAATTTTACTGAGATAGTTTTTGCATCCTGAAGAATCAATTGTGGGTTTTGCCCCCCCTTCTCATTCCAGAGACTAATTTTAACACAGAATATTACACAGACCTTACAACAATCTACACCTACTCTCTTAATGCACATTCTGGTAAGATTCCTCCAAAAAGAATATAACAGTATGTGTATAAAATTATGTGTACTATGGCACTAGGTCAGATTATGTCATCTCCTATATGCAGGGTCTAGCTAGTAGAACTATAATTAAATCAAGCACAAGATCCCTTGTCTTCAGGGCCATTGCCAGTTTTATAAGAGAATTTAGTCCCTTTGCTTATTGTGAGTCTTTCACAGGACATCTTATAGTCGCTGCAGTTATGTATGATAAAGTAAGTGAAGACAAACTAAGTCCATAGGTCAAATCCAGCCCACATCCCCTCTCTCTCTATAAACAGAACTTCACCTGAGCACAGCCATTCTTCTACACACTGCCAACTGCATTTGCACTCCCATAGCAGAGCTAAACGGATGCACCTAAGACTATCTGGCTGGCAAAACCTAAAACATTTACTATCTGGCTCCTTACAGAAAAACTTTGAGGGACACTGATATGAACAGAATGCTTCCAGTGTCATAAAAGACAGAAAAGGATCTGGCTCCAGGTATCTGGTTCAGCAACCCAGGTCCCACATCACAGCCTCCAGCCACTCACTCACTCCTTGTCTAATTGAGATGGTCCAAATTTAGAAACACATAAAAGTGGGACATAAGACAGCATGAGAGAACAGAAATTACCATCCCAATCTAGGCAACGCTTCAGTTTCCCAAAGGATGAAAATGATGTCTTGGCTCAAACTGATCACAACAAGTAGCTCAGAAAAGAACAGTATATGAAAGCATCACCAAGCAGGATAAACCTGGGGCTGTGTCCCCACTCCTATATTTGGTCCACAAAGCAAACATGGTCTAAGAAAAATTACAATTTTATCATAAAATGGATGCTTTCTTCTGCTCAAGATTTTGGCTTTCTTGTGAACTGACAAAATGAGGATTCTAGCTTCAACCAGGGCTACGTATAAGAACCCCACTGAAGACTCCCAAGGTACCCAGGATAACAGAGGAGAAAGAACTGCCCAGGGAGGCATACCACTCCTCCAGACAAAGGAAGCAAAAAGATTTGGCCAGAAAGCCTTTAGCAAAAACATTAAATCAAAAGCCAAAACAAGTGTCTCAGAGGGGGTCTGATTTTCCTAATTGTTTCTCCCACATCTTGCTGCTTCTGCCCCAGAGTTCCCTACATCTGCTCTCTGAATCACCACTGTCCCTATCTCCTAGATACAAAATTCAGAAGTTATCACTAAGTCCCCCAGTCTCTCTACTTCCTTAGACTGATTTCTACTTCCTCCAACTGATTTCCTTTTCTTCAGGCCCTCGTGCTTTAAATAAGTCATTCATTTAATCCCCATAACTCTGTAGTTATTTTCACTTTATAGAAAAGTAAACAGGTTTAGAAAAGTTAAGAAACTCATCCTAAAAGCCTGGACAGTAGCAGAACTAGGGCAGATAAAAAACTGAATTCTCAATAGCTACACTACCCTGCCTCACAGAGCTGGCTGTTTAAACTTTCCATACTCTTCCTATATATGTTTGCCATCCTCCAATTAAATGGCCTGCTGCTCATAGCTACTAGTCTTAGTTGCTGATGCCCAAATTTTGTGTTTTGGCCTTTTTACATTGTCAAGGGTAGTTGTAAATACTAGTCTTAATGTGGCTAGTCCCCCTCCCCCAGCCCTGATTACTAAACCAACCAAATCTTCTCTTTGTTGCTACACATTTTTTTTTTTTTAAATTCCTGCTGGGATAAGCACCACTTCAAATAATGGAGACTTATCTGTACCTTAATTTTAATGAGTTAAGGCCAATCAGTTCATTTGCAGATGTAGATAAAAGGCCTTCACAATGTTTTGCTTAAGTAGCTAGTTTGTTGCTTACTGCATTAAGTTTTTTTCATCAAAACTTGGACCCACAGCCAGCCCTCTATCTCTTCACATTCACCTCTCATGATTCACCTCTTCCAGCCACACTTCCTGTCTATTGGTCCCAGTACAACCCTGACTGGATAGACTGTGCCTTCCCAGACCTTTCCTAACACTTCCCAATTTCACTATGCCAGTTCCTATCTTATTAGTCCACTTAGAGACAACTTGTTTCTTCTAAAACCTTTTATAATAAATGTTTATTTATAAGTGTAAAATACTTTTCAGCTTACAAAAACAAAACTAGGCAAAATTATAAGATACTATTCAAAGAGCAAGAATTCCTTCAAAATCCATAATTAAATACAAATAAATGTATTATCCACAGAGTACTAATGTAATTGTTTTCACTCTGTCCTCTTGGGCTTTAAGACAAACAATTTAAAAAGCAAACCAATTCTAACAAAATGTATAGTACTGCTTTTCAGCAGTGGCAAGGTCTGGCCCTGCAGCAGACGTCAGATTTAATCGTTAATTTCAGCGCTTCCGCACTGCTTAATCTCCAACCTTCTCAATAAAATGATTTGACACACACACACACACAAAAAAAAAAAACCCACAAAATGTACAGTACTAGCTTCTGTGAATCACTGGCTTGAATTAGCCATGTTGCCAGTAACAGGTGTACTTCATTTGGATTCTCTTAAGGGAAACTAATATCCACTAACAAGCCAAAATTAAAACAAAGTTAACCAACAAAACAATTAACAATAAATAACAGTAACTTACCTACTTCAGTAAGTTGATGTCTTTCAAGTGTTAAGTTCTTTGGATCTTTAGTAAAATGAAAGGGCTGTATTTTTATTCCTTCAATTTGAGGAAATAATAGAGCAAAACCTGATTCTCCAATTTCTATTTCCTGAGGTCGATTGCTACCTGTTCCCATTGGAGTTACTAGGGAAAAAAATTGCAGTTTTGAGAACAGATTCAATAAAAACAGAAATTGATTTGGTAACAATGTAAATTGACCAACCCCACCTAGATAACTGCAGTTTAAGTCACTAATACAAATGCCAAGCTAAATAACCACTATTGGGGGTAAATTATGCTCAGCTTTGGTGTTTTTAGGGTGTAATGTCATGATGTCTACAACTTACTCTCAAATGGCTCAGAAATAAATGGTTTTTATAAACAAAGAAAAAACAAATGTTGCAAAAATTTTTTCAATGGAGGACACAAGGGTGATTACTATGTATTCATTCTATCATGCTACTTTTCCACAGGCTTTAAGTTTTTCAAAACAAAAAGTTGAGTAGCAAATATATTTTCATAGTAAATCCACTTTTTTTTAATTTATCTTTTTTTTTATTGATTGTTCAAAACATTACAAAGCTCTTGACATATCATACTTCATACATTTGATTCAAGTGGGTTATGAACTCCCATTTTTACCCCGTATACAGATTGCACTTTTAAAAATTTATCCCAAAGAAATTTGCTAATTATGTAAAGTATATGTATGCACAACTATTTTTATCATAGAATTAACAGAAAGTAAAAGGGAAAAAACCTAAATGCCCTACCTTAGTATTTAGATTAAAAGCTTCATATATACAACAGAATGTAGCCATTAAGACTGATGCCAGATATGTATCTGCTGACCTGAAAATGTTTGTAATGTGCTTTGCATTTTAAAGGCAGATGTAATAGACTACCCCCTCTCCAAATTCATATAAGGCCTAACTTCTCCTTTGTGATTGTACTTAGAGATAAGGTCTTTAAAGAGGTAAAAGTTAAATGAGATCATAAGAGTAGGCACTATTCCATCAGGATTAAAGTTCTCATAAGAGGGGAAGAGACACAAGGCTCACAAAGACAAGGTATACAAAAGGAACAGAGAGAAGAAGGCTGTCTGCAAGCTTCAGGAAAAACTAATGCTGAACTTGGACCTCCAGCCTCCAAACTATGAGAAAATAAATTTGTTGTTTAAGCCATCCAGACAGTGGTATTTTGTCCAACCCTAGCAGACTAATACAGAATACAGTAAGTTACAAATCACAGAAAATTATATTCTGGTTTTACCTACACCACAAATATAAACACAAACCTCATAAAGTTAATAGAGTGATTAAGTCCGTGGTGCTTATTTTTTTTTCTTTTGTGTAATACTAAATTATTATTACTAGTGTAAAAAAGAAAAAAAAACTGGCTGGGGTTGTAGCTCAGTGGTAGAGCACTTGCGTAGCTTGCATGAGACATTAGGTTCAATCCTCAGCACCATATAAACATAAACAAATAAAATAAAGGCATTCTGTCCATCTTTAACTACCAAAAAAAAAGTGTTAAGCATATCACAAACTAAATTGACCAAATTTAGGGCAAAATAAAAAAATATATATACTCAAAAAGAAAATTTCCAAATCAAACCAAACCCACAAAATATATTCTGAATTAAATACATGAAAACAAAAATTCAGAATTTATGATAAGGCCCTTTGTTCCACGGAAAATATCAAAACGTAAGAGCAATTTTTTATATGTGTTTAGAAGACTGCAAAACAATCTGAATTAAAATAACAAGACTCTTTTGTAGAAATTGATATACTGAAAATGTATGTGAAAATGCAAAGGACCCAGAGAGCCAAATAATCCTTAACAAGAACACTGATGTCTACAAGAATCCAGATGATATTATTTGGTTTAAGGATAGAAAATAGATTGAGGGAAGAGAATAAAACCCCAAATCAGGCTCAATTATTATTTTTTAAAATTTTACTTGTAGATAAACATAATACCTGTATTTATTTTTATGTGGTGCTGAGGATCAAACCCAGTGCCTCACACATACTAGGCAAGTGCTCTACCACTGAGCCACAACTCCAGCCCTGGCTCAATTATTTCTAACAAATTATTTTTGACAAAGTTGCCAAGACAACATAATAAGGAAAGAAAACTCTCAAAGACATGGTGACAGAATAACTACACAAACATGGGGAAAAAACTAACTTTAAACACCTACGTTACAAACAAATTTAAAATTAACTCAAGTTAGGCCACAGAACTATAAGCTAAAACTATACAGTTTATAGAATAAAACATGAGATTAACCTTTGTAAATATGAGATAGACAAAGATTTCTTATAAAGGACATTTAAAAAATGAACCATGAAAGAAAAACATTGATAAACTGAACTTAACTAAAGTTTTCTGCTCATCAAAAGAAACTGTTAAGACAATAAAAAGCCATAGACCAGGAGAAAACATTTATAATACCTACACTTGTTAGAGGACTCAAACTATATAAAGAGCTCCTATAACTCAAAAAGACAAACATTCCAATAAAAAAAATCAGTAAAAGACATTTCATAAAAACTGACATAGAAATAGCCCATAAACTCATGAAAAAGTTCTCAGCATAATTAGTCATTAGAAAAATTTAAATTATAACTATCACAAGCCTCTTCATGCCCACTATAATGGCTAAAATTAACAAGAATCATGACTATGGGGATATGGAGCAAATGGAACTCTCATACATCACTGGTTTGGAAAACTGGTATTTCCTTTTAAGTTAAATTTACATCAATACTAAGATCCTCCTATTCCACTTCTTGGTGACTGCCTAAGAAGAATTGTAAGACCTATACACAAAGGCAAATGTTCTTAACAACTTCATTCATAATACTTAGGAACTGGAAATTATAACAATGTTCATCAAAAAGAGAATGAGAAAAAAAATCATGATCTACTTATATAATGGAATGCTACTTGAGAAATTTTTTTAAAGAATTACTGATTAACATAACAAACAAATCTCAAAAACACATTGTTAAAAATATTTATACTGAGTGAAAGATATAACACAAAAAGAGATCACATCCATTTATGTGACATTCACAACAGGCAAAACTAACCTACAGTCACAAAAATCAAAATAGGTTTTCAAAGGCAGGAATTAACAGGAAATGAGAAGAAACTCTCCCAGGTGGTGGAAGTATTTTCTATCTTGACTAGTGGGATGATTACAGAAGGGCATAAATTTGTCAAAACTCAATAAATTTTAAACTAAAGATTTTACATTTGACTGCAGGTAAAGTTTATCTGTGGAAAAGTAACATATGTACCTGTAAAAAATGAACAGATTTTTCTCAAACTTGAAAATTTTCCAACCATAAGGAAGGAAGATGGGACTAGTAACTATCATGGCTGTTTTAGAAACAATCACTGTACAGTGGCCTAAGAAAAATTATCTTGGTGGAAACTTTGTTCAGGCACATGAGGAACTGACTCAAAGAAAGTACCAGCTGTAGAGGAATCAGAAACAGTAAAAAGGGTAATAGGGAACCAAGAAGATACAAGAGTCCAAGCCCTGACTAAAGGAGCTGGAATGGCACTGTCCTGACATCAAGATCACAGCAGAACTTAGGGGGATAAGAAACACAAATCAAAACTAATGCCGAGTAGGACCAAGGCTCACAAGGGAGAGTGTCACCCAGGTCTGGCCCTACCCTCTCTCTCCTCCCCTATCCCTGTCAGCAGAAATTTTAAAAAGGAAAAACTTGTATGTTTAGAGAAGCCACAGTAGATACAGAGGGGAGACTAAGAAAATGATGATGCAAGGAAAAAGAGCTATGATTCTGTATTTATTAGTAACCAGTAATGGTAAAGAAATGATCAATCATTTAAGGACAATTCAAAGGTTTGAAGAAAACCAGGGTCACTACTATCGTTTCCTTAATCCAATCAGAAATGACATGCCTGAGTGAGTGGACAGAATAATAGTACACTAGTGGGGAGCTGATGAAACAGTCCCTATCAACTATGTATTTACCCTATTCATTTCTCTTGAAATTCTTTGTTTCATTATACAAGATTCCCAAATTTATAGCAAAAATCTTTTGGAGCTACAGATATAGCTCAATGGTGGAGTGCTTGCCAAACACAGGAAGCCCTGGGTTCAATCCCAGGCCCACAAAAAAAAAAAAAAAAAGTTTTCAGTGAAGATTAAAAATGCCAGATTAAGGAGAGCTGGGGCTGAGGCTCAGATGGTAGCGTACCTGCCTGGCATGTGTGAGGGAGCACTGGGTTCAATTCTCAGCACCGCATGTAAAAAAATAAAGGTCGGTCAACAACTAGAAAAAGAGGCCAGTTAAAGAGTACTAGGTACTATCAAGTCAAAACAAAACAATAATAGCTAACATTTGCTTACTGCACATCTCTTTTTAAATGCACTACAGGTATTAATTCATTTAATCCTCACAATACTCCAGGGATGGTTCTATCACCACCATCATCATCATCCCATTTCATTGATGGGGTAATTAAAGCCCTACAGAAGTCAGATAACTTGCTCAAAGTGCCACAGATACTAAGCAGTACTGCTGGAATCCAAGTAGGTATGTATCTTAGCCACTATACCTGTACTGCCTCAACAGACTCTCTTGCCCCCATTACCTACAGAAAAGAACAAAATAATAATAATAATAATAACAACAACAACAACAATAAAAACAGCAAAAATTCAGTGATCAAACATTCCCTCTAATGAATGGCTATTGAAAAGAGATGCATTATATTTGTTTTATACAGGTAGCAGCACT